CTTTGCTGAACATCTATTACTCCTCCATATATTTGTTTCCTCCACTTTTTCTCTTCATCCTGCTTGTCTCCTCCCAAGTCTCTGACCATCTCTCTCTCTCTCTCTCTCTCTCTCTGGCTGTGAGCTGCTTGATAAAAGCTGCCTGGATGACAACTCGTTTCACACACCACTTATTACTGATGAAGCTCTGTTCATACAGAATGATCCCTCTCCTTTACCACCTCATTCTCCCTCTCTCTTACTCTCTGAGTCAGTGAGCTTTCTGCAGAAGATTAAAAACCGATTTTTCCAAGAATGAACATCAATATAGTGTGAGCATATGTGTGAGAGATGACTCGACACCAGACAGGCGAGAAATCTCCTCACGTCTGAACGTCTGTCAGAGTCATGGAGAAGAGGTGAGTTTTCTGAAAGCTGATTATCCAGACCGTAAACTCTTCATATTTCATTTTAAATTCACTCACCCCTCCTCTTCAGAGTGAGAAGAAAATTGCACTCAGTTGCTGAGTGTGTGTTGATGAAACTCTGGAATTGTGTGTGGACGGACAGCAGAGGAGGAAATCAGCCCAAGAGCATGTCTCTGCAGACCAAAGCCTCTATCAGTGAGACCATCGCCCTCGTGCCTCTGGCAAGCATGATGGAACAAACAGCCTGCTGTACAGCGAGCACGGTTATTAGATTGCCGTGATGTTGGCCTGCATTTCGAGGTGAATATATCAGCTTATGGAATTCACACAATTCCACAGCAGTAGTGTTTGACAAAGACATCTTATTAAAACTCATTCTAAATAAACTTACATAGACGTATTACATAGATTTAATGAAAAAGACAATGCTATAATTTTGCATCACTGTACTGTATTTAGTAGCTAACCCACTTAAAATATATATTAATCAACAAATCCAGTTTAAACTGACGGAGCACAGGAATGTTAAACACATATGATCTCTATGCTGCACATAACACAGCTTACACATCATTTCACAGAGTGTTTGATTTGAAAATGGATGGAAATACCCCAGAAAAAAAACCCATCCCCATTCCTCTTTTCCATCCCCACTGGATTCATGCTGACATGTGATAAGACATATTTTATCAACAGCCCAGTGCAAACATTATAAAAACAAAATTTGCAGGGAAATGGTATTTTCAAAACCATTTTGGTCCAAAACTTTTCTACAAGTCATTGGTTATGGGATCACACTCTTAGCATAGATGCAGTGCTAAAACAGCATTTTCTTGACTTCAGGACTTCTTGATGCATTTCTTACAACCGGTTTTGTGAATGCATGATTGTCACTCGACTTCAGCTAACTACAGAAGTAGGATCTGAAGATATAAAGGATGTGAAGATGAATGAATGAATGAACGAATGAATGAAATAAAACATATTTACTAGCAAACTTACAGGGCACTAAACTTACTACTAAATGTTAATCAGATAGTTGAACGTATAGGTATGGAATATCATATATTTAACCAAATCAAATGAATGTCTAAAAAACTAATTCAGTACCAAATGTGCTAAATGAACTGGTATGTGGCATCATGAGAAATTAGGTGTGTGTTAGGATGGGTGTTTATGTTCTTCTTCTTCCTTTTGCCTTACATTTTTAATACACTCCATGCTAAAACAAAAGCCTTATCCATCACTGTAATGGATGTGACTGACCCCGTCTGACTCCTACATGAATATCAGTATAGTGTCTGGCAGAAGTAGCACCATATGTGGATAATTGTATTGGGATTGAGAAATGAGCTCTTTAATGAGAAGCACAATGATTTATCTACAGGCTGTGTTCTAATGCACATGTACACGCACACACACACACACACACACACTATACACGGATATTCATGTAGCAGACAGACAGGGTCAGTCTCATCCATCAGAGGCCTTCATTACAGACCAGACTCTTCATCCAAACAAATTGCAGCCCTAGGGTGTGAGGAAGACAGAAAGTGAGAGAGATAAAGAGTGAGAGAAAGAGTGTGTGTGTTTGTGTGTGTGTGAGAGAGAGAGAGAGAGAGAGAGAAAGAGAGAGAGCATATATTGCTGAAATTACATTATGTTAGCAAATAAAATTCTAATCTAGTACTTTAAGTGGATATGTCCATGCTTATGTGTTAGAGAAGGTCAAAGATATTTGTGATCAATTAATATGACAATATAATATCAGATTGTTAATTCATCCAATCATATGATGACTGCACACACCATTATTAGCAAGTTTCCCTCTATCCAGGTTATTTTCACCAAACACTGTGTCACTAAAGCACACACCATTATTAGATACCTCTGTCATTTTCATCCACTCTGTCTTTGCTCTTCAACCAACTGGATACTGCATCATCTCCACATGCATTAAGAGTTTCTTACCATGTGCTTACACAGTTACTGACCCAAAAAGAACTTCATCATATGCTTTTTCAAACAATGCACTTTTGTTCTAGCTATTGTAACTCTGTTTGGGATGTGGCTGTGGGGTTTGTGGTCATTCAAAGAGGCCAGGTACTGATGTTAGGCAAGGAGGCCTGGGGTGCATTCGGCGTTCCAATTCATCCCAAAGGTGTTCAGTGGGTCCGAGGTCAGAGCTCTGTGCAGGCCACTCTTTTTTTTTTGCCACACCAAACTTTAGCAAACCATGTCTTTATGGACCATGCTTTGTATACAGGGGCATTGTCATGCTGGAACAGGTTTGGGCCTCTTAGCTCCAGTGAAGGGAAATCTTAATGCTACAGCATACAAAGACATCCTATACATTTGTGTGCTTTCAACTTTGTGGCAACATTTTGTGGAAGGCTCATGTATGGGTGTGACGGTCAGGTGTCCACAAACATTTGGCCATATAGTATATGTTGTATGTAACATACAGTGCATGTTGTATGTCTTTCTGCATCAATTCTTGCTGTTCAATTATGGAATTTTCTTTTATGCATGTGAGCATTTCATTTTGGCAGTGCATTCTATGTATTTCTATACATTACAAATAAACTTGAACATAATCCAGTTTTGTACACTTCCTTAATTTACCCATTTTTAATTGTTAAATGCTTAATTTTTGTCAACGCTGTATTTAAGAAAATCTGTTTCTTATAATATGGTTTTGCTGCTCTGATAGTCAGAGAGAGAGAGAGAGAGAGATGAGGAGATGATGGTGATAATGAAGAGAGTAGAGAAGATTGTCCAAGAAGTGACAATCAGTGAATGCATGCCGAACAGAAAGGATGACTGCCAGATACAGAAATGGTGAAGACCACATCTATGAATAATGCAAGTGAGAGAGAGAGAGAGAGAGAGAGAAAATGCACAAAATCATGTTTCTAATCTATTACAGATCATTGATCCTGTAATGAAACTTGTAATCAGAATAATGTGTACAATTACACAACCTCATTAGTGTTTTCTGCTTAATTGTTTAATCATTTTTCTTTAAAGGCCACACACTGCTTTTTTATATATAAAAGCATGCAGCTTAATTCAAGTTTATACTACATGCATATTTAAAAAATATTTTTAATGTTTTAAGTATACTGTTACTGTTTCTGCTAAACATGGTCGTTTATGGAATACTAAAAGATTTTCTACATTACACAGGACAATCTGCCAGCAGCAAACTGCATGCATGAGCGCTACAGGAATGTATTGACTTAGAAATCCAATAATTAATCAATATGATAACGGAGTAGTTTGCCCTCTAAAGCCTGCAAGGTGAATCACAACTGCAGTGATTTTGTTGAAATTTAGATATCCTCGTGAGTTGCATTTGAAGGAAAAGCGGCAGGACTGAGCAGCTTTGTTAGCTTTGACTGGGACTGGAGATACTTTACAGTTTGCAAAAAAAAAATGATGAAACTGTCAAACAAACAATTCTATAGTTTATGTGAAATTATATGGCTAGGTCTTGAAATTCTCTTCATCAAACTGCATCTTCAAGAAATATGACTATATATTGTATGATTCCAGTCCCCGCTGTTTGTTGTACAGGAATTATCTCATTTGCTCCATCACACAACACAGTGCAGCATGTGCAGGTATGTGTAACACAACATAACCAGATTTACACTAACAAGCTTTTCTCCATAATAAAGTGGGAGAATCCAATTAGTGAAGCTGGGGGTTGGGATGCACAGTTCGAACAAATAGAGCTCGACACTGCAGCTCAGCATGGTGCACCTGTGGGTAAACTGACATAAATAACATGCATATATTTCTATTCAAGTCACTGGCAACACGAGTTCAAAAATCTTTACGACACTGAAGATCTGTCATTTAGATTAAGGTTAAATAAAAGACATATACTAATATATATATATATATATATATATATATATATATATATATATATATATATATATATATACTGTATTCTTAACTATTGAATTATAACTAAATGCTACAGAAACTCTTTCTACCTGATCAGAACTGTGTGTCACATTGACAGTGTTTTACGAGTCATCCATGTTGTATGGTGAGTTGGTATATTTTGTACATTTTCCTGGTGCCACAGCACTCATTGAAAGTGGCAAAATAAGGTAAGATTGTGGTTTAAAATCAACACTGTTTAACAGAATATAACATTGCAACATGCAAGAGCAGCACATTTAACATGTCAGGTTTGATAAAATGGTTTATGATGAGCTTTATTATCCTGTCATTAAATTGGATTATTAACCATGTGGATCATGAGATTCGCTGTTGATGAAAAGTAACTTTTGTATTTTTTTTTTTTATTTATGACATTCTGAGATCATAAAATAGAGACAAGAAAAAACATGGTCAGACACCCTGTTGGCTTTTCAATGTGCCCTGTTTAAGTTGTTCTTCTTTCAGCTGCACCCATTAGGGGTCGCCACAGCGGATCATCACTCAACATATTTGATTTGGCAGTTTTTAACACCAGACACCCTTCCTGACACAAACCTCCCCAATTTTATCCAGGCTTGGGACTGGCACTGGGAGTGAACTGCTGTGCACAACCCCAGTGGCAGTGGTTGGTTCCCTGGCCAGGAATTGAACCCGGGCCACAGTGGTGAGAGGGCCAAGGCCTAGCCACTAGTCCTCCAGGGACCCTGTATGCTCATATGAAAGTAAGTATTAAAAATGTGTTAACTAGGCAAACATATAGCCTGTCTTCCTTTTTACAGTATTATGTGTAGCTCATGATTATCTCAGTCTTGGTATGACTCCCATTCTGCTAATTCTCATTCCTTTCAATGTTGAAAAACCATGAAGTAGAGCCACAAACTACGACACTAAAACAGTGCCTATAACACGCTAAAAATATAGTTTCACTCCTGCTCAGACACAGAAAGTCTGAGTGAATAAGAAAGAAGCAATATCGGTTTCTGTGGCTTCCATAAAGGGGGAACAAATTGATCATTCTGATTGGTTCTCTGGTAGCCTTGACATCATCGGTACCAAACATAGTCCAACCAGCTCCAATCTGCTAGAAGAAAATGACAGGAAAATGAAATTCGTAAACCTCTTAACTGAAAAAGCATAGTTTTTTTTTCTTTTGCAGATAACTGTAAACTCACCACAGAGGCTATAGCTAATTAAGAAGCTAATTATGGAATTAAGTTCACAGGGGCTTTAAAGAACCTGGATTTATATTCCTTGGATTGATGTTGCCACAGTCTTCAAATACAGTCACTGCAACACAGTAAAAACTTTTAGTTTTTAGTCTCTTGAACTAATAATGTAACACAAGTAAAAAGGTGTGATGTGGGAGTGTGGGAGCTTGACATGTTCATTAGGGGAACCTCTGATAGAACAGGTCAGAGCCCAGGCAGATAAAAATAGTGCAGGACAATCCACACTCAAAAACAGAAAAGAACAGGGAATCGTTCAAACCAGAAAAACAAGGTACTCAGGAAAACTAGGGGCTAGGAAACAGCAATGCTCATTTCCACCCTCTATAAAACACACACAAAATGAAAAATGAGTTAACCTTACGCTTTTAGAAAAAGGGTTCTTTAAAGGTTCACTGGACAATTTAGGGCTCTAAGTTTCCAAAAAAGTTTGTGATAGTGAATAGAGTTCTACACAGAACCTTCAAGAGGGATAACGAAGAACCCTTAAAGAGTCTAAATTTCAAGAAAAGTAAAAATCCAACAGCACTGGAATGGAGACAGCCTTGACAGGAAACAAAAAAGACTGAGAGAGAGGAGCAATACCCCTACCCGAACAGAGGAAAATTGTTTCATTTTGAAGGCAAACAAACAATAAACCTGAATGACAGAGAACAAATTTTCCTTCTCTGCACAAAGACAGTCAAAAGAGAAAAAAACACATCTGCATAAATATAAAGAGAGGAAGCCAGAAACAGGAAGACAGAGACAGAGACCCAGAAACAGGGAGGGGACAGAACAAAGCAAAAAACACTCTTCCATGCCTGTCTGCTGTATTTACTAAGATGGCAGCTCTTGGAACCTGAATACTTTCCCATATGTTACCACACTATTTTCTGTGGATTTTAGAACAGTACGATTTGTTTATTTGCCGAGAAATGGAAATCAGTGGGAAAAAAGACAGACAAAAGATTTTTTTTTTGTTTCACATTTGTTTGTTTTTTTATTGTCCTTTCCCTTCTTCCTCTCTCTCTCCATCTTCCCCACCACAGTGTGTGTAGGTTGATCTGGGGTCATTTTGGGCTGTGTGGTGCTGAGAAAAAAAGAAAGTGAAAGCACTTTATTCTGCTTGTGAAGCTCACTGACATAAAACGGGAAAGGAAGAATCATCAAACACACACATACACATTGTAAGCAGGAGAGCAGATCATGCAGGTATTTTTAGCTCTCCTCCATGCTGAAGTAGATAAGGACAGATAGGACATCGGGTCCAGACTCGGCCTATTTGGAGAGGATTGTCCCCGCCAGGGACCCATCAATATTCTCCCAAGGAAAAGGGGAGCAGAACAGAACAAGGCTGAAAAAGTTAGATTTTGGACAAACCTGCAGTTATGGTTCCAGTGATCTACTATTCAAGATTAACCAGACTGATGTTGGCATAGTGTCGGTGTCACAGGAGCACTTGTAGGCTGCATTAACCATGACAACAAAGTTGAAAATGATTTATTCATGAAGATGGTGACACTGGCCCATCCAAATTATGGACAACTATCCATAATTTATGATGATTTGTTGCATCAATGCTCTACAATGGCTATAGTTATTTTGTGTAAAAGAAGCACAGTGAACAAGTGAGTGTTTGGAGATACTGATTTCTTTATTGTTCAGAAAGATCATTCACTCACGATCTCCCCCCCCCATGGGAATAGTTATCTGTTACAGCACTGCTGCAAGCAGTTGCAAGCAGTCCATAGCCCAATGCTTGACAAACCAAAGGGATCTGCTGGTGGCAACTTGACTTGGCTAATGCAGATGGCTTGAAGACCCCTTAGCTGATACAAAAATTGCTGTACGTTACTCCTAACGCTATGTTAGGATGTTAATGAATCTGGTAAAATTAAAGTCCACTGTGCTGAAGAAGGGTAGAGTTAAGTATTAGTTCAAAGAAGAGTCAACTGCTATGTCCTCTTTGAAAGCACTTTAACGTGAACCTCCCTTTTGCAAGCAAAAGGATGTGCTTCAACCCTAAAGTCTCTGGGGCTAGAGTAACAGTTCAGACTGGCAGATAGTGGAGAGCTGTGGATGCAGGGAAACTGGTAGAGTCACGGCTAAACTATGGAGCAATGACAAGAGGAACAGCTAGACCTGGAACAATCCTTGACCAATGATGAAAAGGATAATCCCAGGATCTGGTCAGGATGGGAGCATACTGTGAATACAATGGATTAGCAATGGAATAAGCAAAACCGCAAAGCATCAAATTCTAGGTTATAGACTCTATGATGCTTTCTCCATTCCATCAACCTAGCTTTGGTAGTACACCAGCATCCCTCACTGCCATTAAGAAGGAAAGAGAACCCTCAATCACATCCTGAACTGTTGTCCAAATGTTACGGTGGAAGGCCTATGACATTGCTGAAACTGAAGCTCATCACAGAGACCATCTGTAGTGCCAACAATAGTGGCAGATGGTCAAACCCAACAAAACTATAAATCAGGACCATCAATGCCAGTGCAAAGTGCAAGAGTGAATCCACATCACACCACTGCTTGGGCACAACCTGAGGGTACATAAATCTCAGCTAGGCCATCTGGGTAAGGGTGTCTAATGTTAAAATTACTGAAACACTCAATGGTTCATTCATTTATTTTCAGTAACAGCTTTATCCTGGTCAGGGTGGACCTGGGAACACTGGGCACAAGGCAAGAATACCCCCTGGATGGGAAATCAGTCCATCGCAGACCATCATATACACACACACATTCAGACCTATGGACCCAATTGTCCTCCCAGCATGTTTCGGGAGATGAATGAAAACTGGAGAACCCAGAGGAAATTCACATGGACAGAAGGAGAACATGCAAAACTCCACACAAAGAGTAACCTGAGCTCAAGATCAAACCAGGAACCCTGAAGCAATGCTACCCACTGCACCACCATGCCACCCAGTTTGTTTCCCAAGGACAAAATTCTCCATAACCATCCTCCTACTGCTCTCCAAAGTTATTATACTTACATAGTGTAGACCTCTCCACACACCACTGTTATTATACTTACATAGTGTAGATCTCTCAACACACCACTGTAAACCAAGGTCAGTTGAAAATCAAAGTCAGTCTGGAACAGCTTCAAGTTGTAAAATACTGATTTCAAAGAAGATTTTTGCTTGCTAACATGTAAAATAGCTAGTTAATTTACTGGAGTAAGTAACTAGTAAGTAAGATAAGTAAGTGATCTAGGGTGTTAGAAAGGCGCTACATAAATTAAACATAATATAAAATAAATAAGTTGCCATTGCCTTGTCAATTCCTATAATTTAGTCAGCTACTGTTAACTATAAAATAAATATAGTGCCCTGCAACTTCTTTCAATCTTACAGTTTAATGTTTTTTTTCTCTCTCATAATATGAGTCAGACCATACTCAGTCAAGTTCAAATGAGGAGCAGCAACCATATTTTAGAACTTGCTAGTGTTGACTAATGAATATTAATGAATGCTGGTAGTCTGCTTATGAATATTCATAGACTGTGGGCGGCCAGCAAAAATGGAATGAGGACTGGAGAGCGAGAGAATAACACTCTATAAACCAATGATTTAAAAATATATAAGCATGATTTTCAGAGATAAAAACACTTGAGGTTACACTCTGAAGTAATAGAAAAACAATACAATATAAAACCTTTAAAAAGTGCCACATCCCACAGCGGGTCTGACCTGTAACAGCAAACATACACAGACACACACAGAGACACACGTGCACTAGTCCATCTCCCAGCACGCCTTTGTTCACTTTTCAAGGTGATGGACTGGCCAGGAGACTGCAGTGCAGTCAATAAGGCCAATCTGCCTTACACACACACTATATGTGGGTCTGTGTGTATGTGTATGTGTGTATATATATATATATATATATATATATATATATATATATATATATATATATATATATATATACACATACAGTATATAAAACTTCAGACATAAAAGAGGTCATCGGGGTAGCTCATATTACTGTCTATGCACAGATACACACACACACACACACACACACACACACACACACATACATTTCACACCCAGGTCTGATGGTCCCAGCTGAGCCACAGCACTAAAATATTAACTGTCAGCACAAAACAAGCTGCATATGCATGCCCCTCACCCCACCCCAAACACACACACACACTTGCCTTTCTTTATGTTGTGCTCCCTAAGCATCAGTTGCCAATTGTCTGATAAATTGAAGGATTGATTTCATCAGTTCCACAGCACATACACACATGCACATTATATATAAACTGCACAATGTACCAAGTCCATTTTTTCAACTGCACATTCAAAATCAGAAATTAATCTGCACAAGTGCCAGGGGAACTTGAAATTCTAGGTTCCATCGACTTTATCAGTTGTAGGAACAGTTACAGCAATGATGGTAAAGGCAAATTCATGATCACTCTGGACACAATGACACTATTGGATGTTTTTGTCCTGCTATCCC